TAAGTCTCCATTCAGAAAAGCATTTTTAACATCCATCTGGAACAAGGGCCAAGAATGACTTGCTRCAAGGGATAACAGAACTCRGATGGTGGTCATCTTGGCTACTGGGGCAAAGGTCTCCAAGTAGTCTATGCCATAAGTCTGGGTGAACCCCTTTGCAACCAGTCGGGCTTTGTACCTTTCGAATGGAGTCATCAGCATTATGCTTCACAGTAAATACCCATCTACATCCAACCGGTTTCTTTCCTTTGGGTAGGTCAACTAATGCCCAAGTATTATTTTTCAACAGGGCATCCATTTCGACTTGCATTGCATCTTTCCACTCTGGAACTGATAAGGCTTGCACTGTTCTTGGAATAGGGACATTGGCAATGGAAGTGAGATAGGACCGGTAAGAGGGAGATAGGCGATCATAGGATAAAAACTGTAAAATGCAGTGAGCTGTAGATGTGGTGCAATGTCGTTTCCCTTTACGGACGTCAAAAGAGAGATCAAGGTCATCCACAGGAGGGGAAGTGGCAACAGTGGAAGGTGTCTCAGTGGGCTCTAGGACTATAATACTTGGATCTGGAGCCGCAGAAGGAACTGGAGCTGGCCTGGACTGCCGATGACTGTGATCAACCTGCCTTCGCCTGTGATAGACTCTGAACTCCTGATCCCTCTGACCACCCTCACCACTACAGCCTTCATCACCCAATGGAATAGGTAAAGAAACAGCCCCACTCCCACTGCGCTCCCCCTGAGGAAAGAGACTCAAAATCCCACTCTCACTGCTCTCCCCCTGAGGAGAAACCCTAGGATAATAGGGTGTCTCCTCAAAGAAGGTGACATTCATGGAGACAAACTTCTTCCCTAAAACAGCATCATAGCAGCAATAACCCTTTTGAGTTTGTGCATAACCGAGGAAAATGCATTTGGAGGCCTTAGGTTCAAACTTGGAATGATGGGGCCCAAGAAGTTGAACGAAACAGGTACAAACAAAGGTTTTAAGGGGAACGGTAAACAACTCCTCGTTTGGGTATAGGAGGGAAAAAGGGGTTTTCATACCAAGAACCCGGGAAGAAACCCGATTAATGAGATTTACTGTCGTGAGGATAGCATCACCCCAGAAGCGAATAGGTACATTGGAGGTAAACATAATGCTTCTAGCCACCTCCAAGATGTGCCTATTCTTCCTTTCGGCAACCCCGTTCTGCTGTGGTGTATGAGGGCAGGTGCTCTGGTGAAAAACTCCATGGCTAAGGAGATAAGAGGTCAATGGCTTAGCAAAGTATTCATTTGCATTATCAGATCTAAAATCTTTGATTTTGGCCCCAAACTGAGTTAGAATCATCTTATGGAAGTTTTGGGTCAGAGCAGGAACCTCATCTCGAGAACGCATAAGATAGACCCAAGAAAACCAGGTATGGTCATCAACAAACAACAGAAAATATCTGTACCCACCCATAGAAGGGATGTGATATGGCCCCCAAACATCAATATGCACAATATCAAAAGAATWATTACTCCTTTTATTACTCAAAGAATAAGATGTTCTACAATGTTTGGCAAACTCACAACTCTCACATCTCAACTTTGACAATTCAACAGACTCAAATAAAGTAGGAAACAGACTCTTCAAGGACCGGAAAGATAAATGACCTAACCGATTATGCCAAAGCATAACCGAACTCACAAACTGAGAAACAAATGACTTCTTATCCACTAGCTCTTCCCAACAAGGACTCTCTCCGAGCAGATAGATCCCATTCGTCTCACGGCCAGTCCCAATCACCTTCCTCGTCTCCAAGTCCTGAAAAACACATCGGTCAGGGAAAAAGGTTATTGAACAGTTCATATGTTTGGTAATACTACTAACTGAAAGCAGGTTAGTATCAAGCTTAGGAACATGCAAGACAGAAGATAAAGARATAGTATCCGATAACTTGATGTCACCCTTGCCCGAAATGGGAACAAGAGAGCCATCAACAATGGATACTCTATCTCTACCGGAGGACAAGTGATAAGTAGTGAGCAATGAT